GCGCTATAAGAGGAGATTATGGTGTACATATGTAGGTGGCCAACTGCTCAAGAAATTGCTTAAAATTAAAAAAATACTCCGGAGTTGGAATTGGACCTTTTTCTTTGAAACCGAAGACATCGAAAATGTGTCTGTCAATTCGAAACGTTATGGTCGTATAATAACCCATTTTTTTTGGGATGCAATTGAAGAACACGCCTTGGACATTATTTGGTTCAAACCTGATTATGCCACATGCCAATGGGGCATAGTGAAAAACTACCTCAAGAAGTTTGTGAAAATTCTTGGGGCGTCATGTGAATAATTTAGTGTTTCAAGGTTCGCACTTTATAATAAAAAAAGAATTTCATGAAAAAAAAATTTTAAATTATTTCTGAGACCGCAAAACATATAACCTTCTGTTTTAGGAAGCATTATCTATACTTGTTGATATTTTAATACAGTAAAAACTGATTTTAAAAATAATGAAAGCTAATTTAACTTTAATAAAATAGACGGTCATAAAAGTATTGAAATTAAGAAGGCGGCAAGTTTTTACTTTGAAAAGGAAAAAAGCGAAAAGGTATCATTCTGAGCCTGCACAGAAGATGGCAAAACAAAATATTCAAAAAGAAGTTCTTTGCGATCTTCTCATCTATATGACAATGTTCATGAGGCCTGCGCGAAGTATCTATTCACTATGTCACAGGTCTATCGAAGGTTCCAGCTACCGTTCTTCAAGAAAATCGCACGAATTCTTAAGTACAATAAATTAATTCGTTATCATTCGTAACGAATATTTTGAAACGATAGATTGTGTTTTCCAATGCGGAACTAATGCGCAAAACCAATTGGATTGAGTGGAGCGTGAGATATCAAGTAATTTTCAGCAAAAACTGATGTTTTATGTATTTTCGTTTGACTGATTTTACTGGAATGAAAACTTTTAGCGTGGTTTTTGCGCTTTTGCTTTACAAAATATGTTTTCGATATCAGTCTGTCATAAACCTACAAGTGATACTTCCTTCGCTTCGCTGAACCATGTGAGGATTAGTTTAGGAAAAGAATAAAATTTTCCCTAATAAAAACAAAGCTAAAATGGCTAAGCACAGCTAAACGTTTTTCTTGAAAATGTTAAAAAAAAATAGCCAAAGCTAAATTTCAAATCTTCTAGCTAAACAGCGAAAAAAGTAGCTAAAAAATTTTTAAAATGGCAACATTGCTTGTTTTGCTCATATTTATGTTTTGTATGTATGTATGTACGTATGGCAAAATAGTGACATGCAGCTTGGGGAGCATAAGTAGCTAGAGAACTGATTTAATTTCGCATATACATACATATGTATGTATAAATGCATATGTACAACGCTATTGCATTCACGTGTGCCTTGGCTTTTCAGGTTATGTATATATGTATATATACATGTGTATATAAAAACGCAGGGTAGGTAACCTATATACATATATATGTAGCTCTCGCATCTATACGAGTATACATATAAGCTAGCGGCTTTCCGCAATTTATGCATGCATAATTATGTTTGTATACTTACATATTTATTTTAAGCTGATTAAAACAAACTTTGAGTGACAGCAGCTAATTTAAAGGAATTCAATTTTTAAATATTAAAATATAAATTAAAATATAAATTACTAGCAGATCGGGCACCATGTTGCTGTGGTTTTTTGCATTTTTTCCAATTGTTCTCCTTAAGAAAAAATTTTTTTTTTCAAATAAGTCAGGAGGCATATCAATGAGGGGAGTCTAAAACAACGTAATGAAATGAACAAGACTGGAAATTTAAAAACTTGTTGGACGATCTAGAGGTTCGTTAAGGTTCCCTACCTGATACGAGGACCACAAAGAGAACTTTACAATAGATCAGGCAGTAGTGGCCAATCCCAAGCAGTTCTCACATAGAAATTAGATGACTTTTTACTTAGGGAATCGTTTATTGCATATTGGAAATCATACACCAAAAGTTGCTACTCTACCGCCGAACTCTTAATTAGGGCCGATATTGTCAACAATTGTAGCGTCTGAAGAAAGCAATCACCCATAAGCGCCAAACTTTAACCAACAGTAGAGGAACTTGGGTTTCACCAGGACGACGCCAGACCACACATACACCGATAGTAACTCGCCAGAAGCTCCGAGAACTTAGTTTTAAAGTTTTTATGCATCCACCTTATAGTCCGGATCTCACGCCAAGCAATTACCATCTGCTCCAATACATGGCAAATGATTTGACTGGTGAAAAATTTGGCCTATGAAGGTCGATTGCCCAAGTATTTCTATGAGAGAGACAGAGTGGCATTACCTTGCAAATGGCAAAAAAATATCGAGGAATACGAATGCTTGATGTAAATCTTTTTTTTTTTTTGTTCCTAGACCAATATAAAGGTTTCTTCAATACTGCTTTTATATTAGAGCAGCTTCCAGCTTTTTAATATTTTCGTTTTTTTATATAATCTTAAGTTAATTTTTCACTACAAAAAAGTAAAACCATAGTCACGTTTTTATATATAATATAAAAATATACTCGTATATACATATACTTTTTTTTACAATTATTTCACAAAAAAAAAATTATTAAGCTTCACACTCACTTTCTATATCAAGATCAACGATTTATACCAAATGATTTGACAAATTTTAAAATAATTTTAAAAAACATAACACGTACAAAAGTACAAACACTTACATACGCACATGTGTATAAATATGTATCAAACACAGTTTATGCCAATTTTTTTATTGTTGTTTCAGTTAACACTGGTTGTACGGGCTTTTTCAAGTCACAAACGAATTGCATTTTATAGTATATTTTTTTGGAAATTGTTTTTGGCAGTTTAATTGTGGCTGCATCGTGTGGCTCATTTGGAGAGTCTTTCATTTTTTTTTTATTTAATATTTTTTTACGTCATTAAGCATATAATGCTTTGAATTTTGAATGTCTCCATTTTATTGTATTTGTCTGTTTCTTTAACATTTTTTTTTTTACATTTTTGCTTTAAAGTACATTGAACGTTGTTGGCAGACTGCTGCCTGTGACAGTGATGGTTGAAGAGCAAAAATTATGTTGTGTGATGCATGTATACGAAATTTGGCTTTTACATACATACAAGGTGGCAACAGTTACCATAAAGGGCTCCATAAAATTTGAACGCGGACCGCAAATGTACTTACTTTTATACAAAGCAGACTTTATACTCGATAGCTAGGAGAGCTTTAACGAGGTTTTCCTTCAGGTTATTATTATTGTTCGAAGTTAGGGAAAATCTAGGGAACTGTGCGGGCGGCAAGCTAGCTAGAAGGAGGGGAAACATTCTAACTGCAGTAAATTCTCCACAGAATACGAAGCTCGTTTAAGTACCTATCAAGTTTGATTTCTATCAATAAAGAAAAAAGTAAATAGCAGGGAAAACAGTATGCTAATTTTACCTACTGGACAGTCAGGTCACTGTCTTGAGAACCATATAAGGGCACCTCCTGCTGAGACGTATGAACCAGTTTCACAGTGAAATGAGCTGTAAGCATTATTTTTTACGATACAACTGCAGGAATTATTCTTGTAGACACCTGTTTGAAGATGAACCACCTATAGACACATAGGAAAGGTAGGAATTGACTTAACAGACTGCATTCAGCACCACCTCACAGATCCACTGAAAAGGACGAGCTACCAACAGACTCTCAACGTCGTTCACAGAGAGTCTGTCAATATCTTCATTAACTCCATCACCGTGTATGGCGTAATTTGAATCCAATCACTACATACACGTATAGCATACAATCAGCTCGACTGCCTGCCGTATATCTGAGTAATGCTGTTACATTTAAGGTCTGCATACTTTGAGAGATTTGATTTTAAAATAATAAACCTGTCATGAATGCAGTGTTGCTCTTGATTGACCCCTTTTTTAGTATCGCAAGCCGGCATATTAATGAGGCATTCTCGGAAGGGCATTCACTGAAGGGGAATGGGCTATTTCTGCTTTGCCGTATCAGCTGCAGCAAGTGACAAAAAGCATGTGTGAGCGATTTTCCTCACATAACTGAAAGTTTTATTGCTACGGGCTTAGCACTCCTCAACTCAGCTGGAGCCATTTCAAGTAAGTTTGGCTTGGCGGACAGCCGTTTGGTTAGCATTTTGTTCAGTTTGGAAGGCTCAGTTTGAAGCCCTCGTTCGACAAACATCCAAAATAATAGAATATTAATTTTTCTAAATGGCAGAAAATGTCAAGCACGCAGAGTGAGTTTTTGACAGGAGATAAGAGGCTCATAATAAAAATCCATTTGCAGTTCTGAAGCGACTTAGTATAAATTGTAGGCCCCCTCCATTTGTTGGAAAAACATCAACACATAACTCAAATTGAAGGTTGAGCTCCACCTTAGCTTTAGCGATTAGAACACAAAGTTTTTTCTGTGGTGCATTCACTGTGCAGCTCAACGTCTCACGTTTTTTTTTCGCTTTCGAAAACAACAGCATCCTTAAACATTACACATCACTGAACACTGTTAAGCCGTTTAGCCCAATGTAATGTTAACATTCTCTTTATGACGCATGAGGACGTGGGTAAATAAAGCTAGAGAGCCTATTCGCTGCTACTAACGAAATGTAAATAAAAAGGAAACAGTCAATGCAAAAATATGCCAAGGTCATGCAAGCAAGTTCGTTGTCTGCCGTTTTAAACTTGAACGAAGGATTTTTTTTGTTAAACCTGTATACAATGGTAGATAGGTACATTTGCATGCATATGTATGTATTGTTCAGACATGCTTTTATATGATAGCTTCAAAATTTTCCAAATTTTTTGGAAAACCTCCAGTGCTCACTACTATTTTGTGAATTACATCTTTAATCTCGTAAATACATTTAACAAGGTATCACCGGGTATCACAACAAAAACTACACGGTTAATAAAGCAACTACTAGTTTTTACACCATTTTTTTTATAATGATTTAAAAATAATATTAACTTTTTACTGTTTTACACATTTTTATATTTTTGCTCACCAAATGTTGCGCCGCCATTGATATGAGCAACCGGTAACTCGGCACTTATCATTGCCATCTTTCTGTTGCTGCTACAAATAGATGTAGGTATGTTTGTATATATTTCTTAACCTTTTTATGCGCTTACAATGAAAACTGGTCGTTCAAGTAAATATTTATATAAAAAAAAACTTGCATTCACTAAAACTTGTCGTTGAGAAAAATCGTTATTTACAAAGTCACTTTTGAGTTTAAGTGATTATTGCAAGCACACAAAATATCGTCGCCAGCGCTTGTAAACAAACATACAGCGCTAAAATACATACATGTATTTATGTAATATAAACACAATCACTGCACTAAACCACTAATGGCATATTATTAATTGTAAATTAACTTTCAGGCGGATAAAATACTTGATGCGTTCAAATGAGGTTATGTAAAAAGGGCGCGGAAGTTAAGCAAACTAAAGTAGAGCAAAAGCGAATGACTTGGCATAAATTTGCGTTTTTTGCCTTTTTTGCCGTTATCAACATCAATGCACACTAAGTCAGGCGTAACGATTTGTTTTCTAATTCTATGAGGCATATATTTTATTTTATTATTAGCTGTTTTATAGATATTTTTTTTAATTCTTAATAAATTATTTATATTTAAGCAGCGCTGCAATTACATATATTATTAAAATATATTAAAATATCAAAAAAAATAAAAATTTTATTTTATTTTTATTTCACTATTCAACGAAATACTACTCATAGACACAAATAAACGAACCGTCACGAACGACCTTCGCTCTTCAACTGTGTGACTCATAGAGCGCCACAAAGATTTATGCGAACATTGGCTGTTGGTTGCCCAAAAAAAAAGACAATTTGGTGGGTGAAATAATAACATTAATACAAATGTTTACAAAAAAAAAAACAACAGCAATTGAGCAGGAACACGGTTTTTGACATTTTGAGCGAGCAACAGCCATATGTATGCTCTTTTTTTTTAAAGAAAATTCATAATTTGTGCATTTCTTCATGCTATTTCATTACAGCTCAACTCAGTCTCTCCCGGAAACGCTGTATAAACATGCATACATATCTATTGGACATGCACATACAAATGTATATGCATGTGTCAATTTGACGTTGACCATGAGCTCTGCTAAAAGTAAATATACTCTGTAACATTTGTTTTCAGCATAAGTAGCAACAAAGCACGTGTAAGTTAATGTTATTATAACATTCTATGCTCAATGTTAGCAAGAAAAAAAACAACTCTACGAAGCCATCCACCCACTTCTGTAATTTAACATTTTCTATGCATCGGGTAAGGTGAGAGTACTTAACATTAATATGATTGCTAATGTTTGCCGCTATTATTTCTGTTACTTTTAAAAGTTCTGCATAGCTAAAGCTATAACTTAAAAAGAGCGCATTTATGTTGATGATTATTAAATTGGTATATGTGTGGGGATATAATATAATATTCTATAATAATATTTTGTCGCATACATTATTTCATCAATTGAATTTTTTGACAAATTTTTAAGTGCCTCATCGCACTGGTAATACGGATAGACTCGCAATAAATTCTTTCTTAATATGATATATTGGGTTAACTAAACTTTCTACAGGTGCAGTGACATTAATTGTTAAAAAATGGTATTATAGATCAAATACAGCCTATGAAACTCATAAAGGTGTTGAGAAAATGAAGAAAATTTTAATCGAGAATCGTTATCCGAGGATCCAAGCAATTCTAACGTTTCGGTATTAAGCGGGTAGCAGCGAGGTCCGTCCCTGAATTTTTTCGATTTTTGGAATTGGAATTTTTAATTGGAAAAAACTACTTTGAAGCCCTAATGGCAGAAAATTGGGTCAATCGAGTTTTCTATGCTTCTTTTGAGACCAATTCTGTAACAGCCAAATCATTTGCTAGAGATACGAACAGATACGAACAGATGATTATTACTTGGTGCAAGATCCAAACTATAAGTTGAATGCATAAAAACCTCCCAATTAAGCTCTCGGAACTTCTGTGGCCTGACGTTGTCTTGATGAAAGAAAAAACCTCTTCTGTCGGAGAAAGTTAAGCGTTTCGATTGCTTCTTTCAGATGGCCCAATAGTACACACATGGACAGTACAGGTCCAGCTGATTCCTTGCCAATCCCACCAATCATACAACAAAATCTTAATGGCCGCCAATCCTGGCCTGCAGGCCGTTTGTGTCGGCTTACTGTGCTTCGACCACGACGGTCTTCGTTTGACACTGCTGTAAGTGATCCACTTTTCATCAGCATTCACAGTACTTTTCTCAAATTGGGCAATTTCGTGAAGATTCAGCAGAGCTTCCTAGATGGAACTTATTGTACACGAGGGTTTTTTTCGTTAACTAATGTGGCACCAATTCGTCGAGATTATTTTTTATCTAGCCTTTTTCAAGTAGCCCCAAACTGTTTTTTTTTGCAATATTTTCCTTTTGTGCAATCGAAACAGTGTTCACTTTAAATTCGGTATATATTAGCCTGACAGGAAGACTACTCTTCTCCCTGGGAAGAAGATAAGCGGCTTAACTATTCGAAAAAATCTTTTTTATGATTGGATTTACTTGAAAATCAGTACATAACTGGCAGAGTAGCAGGAATACTACTTTCTTCCGGGAAATGTGTTAGCTACCGATCTATTACGTGATCAGTTGGAAAACATATACATATTCAAATATAATATTCGTTATCGGTTTAATTTTTGTATGATGTGCCTAAATGGAACACTCTTGTTTACTGGAGCCAAGTTCGATTTGCTCGAAATAAAAATACAAAATACTTTTTCTATGGCAAAAGGGATCACCGACAGGTGGCCAAAAAAAAATTGTGTGGTGTGGACACACTAAGTACAGATCGTCATAGGTGTGTTCGAGTTACAAGCTATCCTTCTATCCTACACGTTCAACGCTTGACTGTGAATAAACGTTGAAAAGAATGGTGCGTTTGGATTACTTCGAGCTAAAATAAGTAGTTAGATCAGTAAAATGTTAAAAAAAAATTAATATTTTGACTTAGATTTTGCGTAATTTGGGTTTTTCAACGTTCTTTGCAATACCAACCAGAAAAAAATACACAAAACCCCAGCAACAAGGGCCGGGTCTACTAGATTTCTATCATTTTAGTATGCTTGGCTTTGTTCGTCCACTTAACCTCGAATAAAATTTTACCTCCCTCCAGCTGGCTCTATAAATTACCAATAGATCTAAAGGTAAAGCGTATTAACCAGACAATCTAACCCACTAACTAATCTCAAACTAAACTCAGCCTAACATTATAGTCACTTTACACCTTATGTTTAGTTTATTATTTCTTGTTATATACATATGTATATACATACATATATAAACTTTAAATAAAAGCTCAGCACTTACCAAGTTATTAAGCAGCAGCGCAAATGTTGAAAACAGTGAGAAAAAGAAGAATTTCAGCAAAAGTATCGACGCCGAAATATATGACCGTCAAAGAAGATAGACACAACGTGAAAGCTTAAAGTGTTAATAAACTAAAAGGCAATGAAGGAAGAAGAAAAAAAACAGAAATGTAAATAAACTTCTGAGTACATACAAATTAATTAAAACTTTTTTGTTTTTTCCGCTTTTTTATTTTATATTTCTCGCTCTTTTTTAATTTATTTTTTCGCGTTTTTTTATTTCATTTTTTGTTTTTTGTTTTTTTTTTTTTTTTTTTTTTTTTTTTTTTTTTTTTTTTTTTTTTTTCTTGTTTTTTTTTTTTGTTTTTTGTACCGTATCGGCAAATTATATATACTTTAGAAAATAATTAACGGCACCTATGCAGTTTGTTGTAAATATGCAAGTGCAATATTCATATGTACGTATGTATGTGTGTATGTGTGTATATAAATATACGAGTACGCCGATATTCTTACAGTCAAACGAAAATGAAATTACAGTTATGTAGGTATTGTATCTTCTTGTGTCAAGTACGCTTTTTGGCACATCAGCGGTTTTTTGCATTTGTTTTACATTATTATGTAGAAATGTTTCTATATATGTAAATATATATGTATGTATTTTATTTGATATTTTTTGGTTTTAAAAAAGAATTTTTAATGTCATTAGGCATTACTTTTGCCTTACTATTTATTATTATTTTTTAGCACTTCTTATAAATGTTTAAAAAAAAATTTATATTTTTAAAGTTTTTTCTTTAAATATCCTTTAAACACATAAAATTCAATTTGTAACACTTTTAATTACATACATTCTATACACTTACTTTTCAAATTTGACTAGATTTTTTTTTGTTTTTTTTTTTTGGTTTTTTTTTTCACACCAACACTTTCAATGTGTCAAATTTTTTTCGTCCTTTCACTGTTAAACGCGTGATTTCACTATTTTTCAAAAAACATTCCGCTTTCACTTATGATCTGGCCTTATTCATATGCGCGTACTTTTTGCACTATGTCTAGCTTATTCCGTATATAAGTTTAGAATGAATTTTTTAAATGCAATTCAATTTTATACTGAATTGATTAGATTAGCATGAGCATGGACGCGCTCACACTGATTGGGCGTCAAAAGCGAATCAAGTTACAATTAAATGCTTACACATATAAGCGTGCATACCAATAATCTACATATGTACATATGTGTGTGTGTGTATATATATATGTATGTTTGTATGCATATAGAAATATAATTAATTCATATGTTTAGAGTCTAAATGAAAGAAAATACGATTTTCTTTTGAATATTGCATATCAACATATTATACATGTATATGTATATATGTATGTAGGTTTGTCTATATGTATAACTATATGTGTGCGCGTCTCTGACTAATTGTGCTTTTAGAAAGATTTATAGCCTTAGAAATGTAATAAACTCCATGGAAAGACATTTAGAAAAATACTAAACCCCTGCTCTTGACGTTAGCAAACAGGTATCACAATTATTTAACAGGATCAAAGTGCAAAACACTTGAAAAAATTCAAAAAGAAAAAAATGTTGCAAATGTTTGAATTGCGACAACTACATGCATATGTGAAGCCTCTCTCTAATGAATATGATTTTCTTTTCAGTGTAGCAATTATTTCTATAAAAAAAAAAAATGAAATTAGCATAAGCCGCCATAAATTATTGTGAAGTAAAGTCTATAGCATGAGTGAAATGTATATTTACAGCGGCGGTCATAATCTTAGTAGCGCAAGCACTAAATTCAGTTGAAAAAAAAAACGATGTAGTTGCTTACCAAAACCAGTTTAATTTTTACTTTTTAGTAGTTAAAGGACTAATTAAAGCTGAATAAAAAAATGGAGGCACTTGGTTGTTAAAAAAAAAAAAACAAACATAATAATACTTTTTACGAACACCTAAGCTTTCAAAATCTTAGTAGTGTCACACGTTATAGGGTATATTTTGAGGGGCACATCTAGTGTAATGGCCTAAAAAAAGGTGATTTTTGTAAATTTTAATAAAAAAAAAACACTTTATCAACTATTTAAAAATTTTAAGAATACATTTATGCATGTTTCAAGAATATACAGTGAAGTTTTTGAAGAAAAAATTAAATATTTTTTAAGTTATAGTCGAACTCCAACGGCACGAAAAAGAAGGTCCTTCACTGCTGCAGTGATTCCGGCCTTCTCCGTGGATGAAATC